CTGCAGACGTTCGTCCAGATGACGAAAAACCCTAGTAAAATTTATAGGTGCACCAAACAAACGTAATACTAGGGATGCGGAACGACCAGATCAAAATATCTTTGGGAAACGTCTAGAATCTGGTCATTTTAGAAATTTGCCATTAACTTTTACAAATATGGGAGACATTTATAAAAATGTTATAGTTGTCGACAACACAATTGCCATTACAAATTGCTCGTTATATGATAATCTGGATCCAGAGTTAGGCACCGGAAGTGCCATAACTATTTAACGTATAAAGGAGCAATTAAAGCATAGCTCGACTCGCTAAAATGAAAAATTCTCTTTATAACATTACACCGTTGAGCGTTAACCCTCAATGTTACAAATGGGTGTGTGCATGAAAGAGAAGTAAGAATAACGAGGTGATAAGATATGGAGTGAGTTTGTAGCCTATGGGTTCACGCAGAGACCCTTAATTGATTTTAATCAAATATACTCTCCCAGGCTAAATGGCATTAAGTTCCGCTACATAATACAATTGGCAGAATAATAAATTTAGATATGCAATTAAATTTATTTTGAGAAATCCTGGATGGATTCATAATTCTCGAAATGAGGATTTATTTAAGTATTATTATGTGTCATTATTTACTCTTTAAAGGGTTGCGAATGGAGTTAATATCCCCATTGAAGGAATAATATGTACCATTGTGTGCTCGATAAAGGGTTGATAATGAACTTATTTATTATTTATTATCTCAGTCAAGATTGATGGTGTAAACATCAATGAAATATATAAAGAGCTTGATAATGTCAGTTCATGTTTAAAGACTGAGACTTTTGAAATAAAAAACTTGTGAAAGCTATAAGTATTATCTTGACTTGAAGATCGAGTTTTTCTTTGAAGATTTTTTTTTTTTTTTTTTTTTTTTTATATACACCAGTCAGCCTACATCTAAAAATGCTTTTTCACATGTCTATATGCATATAAGTGTCGTGTTTTTATCAAACTAAAGGTTGCCTAATAATCTCTTGAAGCAGATAAGGAATCTTTTTGGACTCTGATGGGGAATATACCCCGGGTACAGGCTCCCCATACGCTCCGTGCTCTCGTTTGGGTCGGGTCAAACGGTTCGGGTCAAGGTCAAACCCGACTTGGTTGCACCTATATAAGGGCACTTGACCCTTCATTTTAGGGGCCTCTCCTCCTCTTCCACTCTCTCTCTCTACAACAATGCTCTCACTTCTCTCTAAGAGTCTAAGACAAGAAGAGTAATTCTTAATAAAAGAATCCCTTTGATCTACATCATGGTTCTTCTCTCCTTGTTCAATATTCATATATGTGGATACACCCTACCGTACCGAGGAATTATCCACATCAGACTCGAAGTCCCTTACTTCATTATCGTTGGAGCACCATTATATTGTAGAACCAGAAGTTCCATAATTGCAACATATTTGCGATGAAATTGCTAGCAAAATCTAGTGTTCCCCCTTCAAATGAAGTACTTGAATAATGATTAACATATCCTCCAGTATCTTCGAGATACAAAGACATGACATTTATGTAAGAAACCATGATACGGTTTTAATAGGCTACTTGGGTACTGGCTGTTTTGTTTGATCCCCGCAATGCCAAGTCCAAACTGGTTATACAATGAATTTTCCTAAATGTTCAAAATGAGGACAATAACACTTGTGTTGCACAAATGTTATATGAGCTCTAGAAGAGCCATAAGATTATTAGATATTTACTCTAGTGACAATCCAAAAGATTTGTCCAATCCATTTCTTCAAATTTTTGAAATATATGTAGAACTTGAAGATTGTTATCTTCAGGGGGAGACGGGAAGTACATTTACTCGAATCAATCCGGAAGATTGAATGTAAAATCCTGAAGATTAAGTCATAAAAGACTAACAGTTGCGCACTATTTGCAACACATAAATACATAAATATCATGTACTCTTTCCCTCACTAGTTTTCTCTCATTGGGTTTTTCTAATGTGGTTTTTAACGAGGCATGAGTATGATATAATAATGTAAATGAGAAAATGTTACAAAATAATTGCTTCAGTCGACAAACCCCAAAATCCTGAAGATTATGTCGATTATGCCTTGAAGGCTCACGGTTGTACTCTTTTTCCCTTAACTAAATTTTTCCCACAGGGTTTTCTTTAAGTTAAGGTTTTTAATGAGGCGACCAATACAATATATGTTTTTACATATATCATATACTCTTTTCTTCAACTAGGTTTTTTCCCACGTGGTTTTCCTAGTGAAGTTTTTAATGAGGCATGAATGTATGCTATCCATATACCTTGTACTCTTTTCTTGTTTAGGTTTTTCCCACAGGATTTTCCTAGCAAGTTTTTAATGAGGCAAGATCGTGGTGTTATAATATCCAAGGGGGAGTGTTATAAATATAATTAAATGTGGACATTATGAGTTGATTATGTAACTGATGTAACGATCACATTTATGTCTACCATTATTGCCTTCCGTTACAAATGTATATTACATATATGTATGGTTGTAATATGAAAAGAGTAGATGATGAATACACAGATAAATGAAGAGATGATTCTTCCTTTCTTCCTTATCTTTCTATCTCTGATTTTATTTTTAATAATATAGTATATGACAAACGTGTAAGTTATTAAAACTTAGAAATGTTCAACAAGCCAGCTTTTAAGAGTCTGCAATAATATTAGTGATAGGCAATTGTGTTATATTCTATACAAGTCTAGAATATTTACAGAGCACTAAAGCATGTAACACATCTTCATGATCTAAACCACACATTGGGCATGTTGGGTCCACCTCCACCCTTTTAAATATCAAGTTAATGGTTGTTGGCAAAATGTCACATATGGCTCTCCACAAGAAAGTTTTCCATTTGGGGGAGACTTTTACTTTCCACATTGTAATCCATTTATTGAAAATCGCGGGATTATTTTCATAGTCACCCACAATACGCCTATAGGCATTCTTGAACGGAACAACACATCAGTAAGTTTACTCACGGATTGCATGGAATTGACTACGATTATCCGGCACCAACACACGCCGATCCATTCGTACGTTGGGGTCACAATTGACCAATGCAGAACACTTATGTCTTTATTTAATCCTATTACTTTGGATTACATCTCTAGACAGGTTAATTTACATGCGCATACTTTAGCTTCGTTAGCTTTTACACAGGACCAAGCTATGTACTGGGATGCTATCCCACCTGACGCTATTTCGGCTTTGATTCATTAATACAATCGCAAGATTGACCTTCAAAAAAAAAAACACGTTTTACTTTCCGGCATGCAATAATAAGTTACTTAATACATTCGCTTGTTGAGTTGTGCAAATTAAGTTTATAAACTTCTTCCCAAAAGATTGAATCGTAGGCACTCAACGGGTTATCTGCATCTCCACCCCAATGAATAATAAAATACCTGCATAATTTAAGTAATGGGTTCGCATATGGGGGAAAAGTTTTAAACCCGCGCGGGTATGGGGCGGGTGCAGGGAGAGGTATCCCCGCACCCACACCCGCCCCCGCATATATATATATATATATATATATATATATATATATATATATATATATATATATATATGTATATGGGGCGGGTGCAGGGAGAGGTATCCCCGCACCCACACCCGCCCCCGCATATATATATATATATATATATATATATATATATATATATATATATATATATATATATATTTTAAGTCAATATCAAAGTATTATGTTACTTATTTAATCTGTTAGATTTTCGGGTAGTAAGGGAAGGTCCTAACTCACTAATATTACAGCTTCTAATTATTTTTTGGTGCTAGTGGCTAAGATTTTATACACTAATGTTGAAGTTGGAAGCAAATGTAATATTCAAGTTGGTAATTATTTGATGAAGACTTTGATGCATCAATATTATAAATTGTAGTAATAAAAATTTTATTAGATGTAAGTTTCATATTATTAATGATACTAAGGTTATATGCAAAATCCCCACAGGGCGGATATGGGAAGGAATTTCATTATTCGCCCAGGTGCGGGTATGGGGAGTGGGATGGGATGGGGTGGGGGATATATCCTGTCCCCGCCCCTTGAATCCTCAATGGGCGCACTCTGCTGGTGAGACTCGATCTTTAGTCATTCTTTTCAAATTTCACTCATATAATCAACTGAGCTATCTATGTGGATAATTAAATTTATAAACTTAATACAATGTTTGGCTTCATTATTAGTGAGAATGCAAAGAATCAAAATTATATATTATTATACTTATATTTAGCATTTGCTAAATGGATATTTGACTAAATGACTAAGTTTTAAAAAAAAATAAAAAAAAAATAGTCGAATGATTATTTATAGTCAAATGGAATTTCGGTGACAAAAATTAATAAATGTTAGTCAATGAACGAGCAAATACCAATTTTAGTCCTACAAGTTTTAGTAAAATGACAGTTTTGATTCACATGTTTAATTCTTATCAATTTTTATCCACGACTATTGTTTTAGTACCAATTCTTATTCACGATTATTGTTTTAGTGTCAAAATTCGTCACGTTGGTAACCCCTCCGTTTAAGACATGCTGAAATCTTAAAATTTTAAGGGTATTTTTGTCCTTTTAAACGTAAGATCTCAATTTGAGAATGAATAAATAGATTTAAGCCCTAAGATTGATCTCAATTCGCACTTCTCATCCTCATCCTACCTTAATTTGAGGAGGAGATTTGCGAACTAGGATCGATCTTAGGGCGTAAATCCCTTTATTTATGTTCAAATTGAGATCTTAATTTGAAAAAGACGAAAACATTATTATTAATTTCATATTTTCAAGACTATTTGGTCTAATGGTACACGGGTTGGACTTCCATTTGGAAGGTTGTGAGTTTGAGCCTCAGTAGAGGAGGGAGTTATTGTGGCTATCATTTTGCTAATACCTGTTGGACCAAAATTGGTATTTGAAAATATATATATATATATATAATGTCACAATCTATATATGATCTATGGTCCATTGCAGTGATTGCACTATTCCAACATCTGCAATTATTCAACCTCGGAATCTTGGTGAATAGAAAACATGGGCGAAGCGATGCAGGGGTTTGGCTATGCGTTTTGCCTTCTGCTTTCCGTACTGCTCAATATTTTATTCGCGGCGAATATTTTGTATGGGGGAGACGGAGACTGGGGGCTCCGGGAGCTGAAGTGGAGTCAGGACGCGGCGGCGGCGGCGGAGGCTGTGGCTGCGCTTGAGTGCTCCGGCCATGGCAGAGCGTATCTCGACGGGAAGATTGGTGATGATGGTATTACACCCGTCTGTGAGTGCCACACCTGCTATTCTGGTCATGATTGCTCTCTCCTATTGCCTGACTGCTTTGCTGATGCTGACGGGTATGCATATAATTATATATACACATAAGATGAATTTAAAGTTTCTAGTTATTTAGGAAGTTTAATTTGGTGTGTTTAAGAAGTTAAGGGAGCTGAGCCTAATGAAATTTAGAAGCTGAGAGATGGGAATGTATTATGTATGTTGATTGAGCAGTGGGGATCCTTTGTTTCTGGAGCCTTTCTGGGTGCAAAATGCAGCTAGCAGTGCGGTGGTTGTGTCAGGATGGCATCGGATGAGCTATTCATTTCCAGCCGGTAGTTCAAATCCAGGTAGTTCATATTTCTCCCAAGAACTGGAGAATCACATCCGGAAAGTGCACGCCGTTGCCGGAAATGCAATCACCGACGGCAAATATATCGTCTTTGGTGTCGGCTCAACTCAACTCTGTAATGCGGCTGTTTATGCTCTTTCTTTGGAAAACTCTTCCTCTCTTTCACCGACAAAAGTCGTCGCCAAAATCCCCTTTTATCCGGTACAGATCAGATCAGAGTCTCATTATTAATTATAGAGTTAATTACCGGAATGGTTCATTGACTATAGTGAAATTATCAATTTGGTTATTGACTATTTTTTTTGACTAATTAAGTTCCTCAATTTTAAAAATCTTAACCAATTTGGTCCTCTGTTTGTTTGACCGTTAGTCAACCGTTAACTTGGGACCAAATTGATAATTTGTTATAGTCAAGGGATCATTTTGGTAATTAACTTTAGGGGTGGGCAATTCAGTTCAGTTTTCTCGAACCGAATCGTACCGAACCGAACTAGTTTGGTTCGGTAATATACTGAACAACGGAACGGTATTGAATTCTTGTATACCGAACGTTCGATAAAAAACATATCCGAATTGTTCGGTAAAAAATTGAACTGAATCGAATACCGTTTGATTTTTTTAAAATAATAATAATAATAATAATAATAATAATAATAATAATAATAAATAAATAAATATATAAATAAAAAGTAAATCTAATTCCCTTGCCGTTTGCTCTGTCGTTCAGCTCATATTCTCATGGGTATCTCTTGTAAATGTTTTATTTGATTTCTTTATGGTTTGTTATCAAAAGTTATATATTATGTGATATGGTGTTTACATAGTCCAAATCCAAAGTCTAATATATAACAAATAGCAATCCAAAGTTCAAACGGTATTCGGTTCGGTTCGATTTTTACCGAACAACTCAGTTCGGTTCAAGTTTTTACCGAACCGTTCGGTACTTCGGTATACAAGAATTTATTACCGTTCGATTGTTTGGTATATTATTGAATCTAACTAGTTTGGTACGGTTCGGTTCGAGAAAATTGAACAGAATTGCCACCCTTAAAATTAATTACCAAAATGGTCCCTTAACTATAACGAATTACCAATTTGATCCCAAGTTAACGGTTGACTAATGGTCAAACAAACGGAGGACCAAATTGGTTATGATTTTTAAAGTTGAGGGACTTAATTATATTTAAACTTTAATTTAGTTGAGATGGAAGGAAAGGTATATTTTCCTTGAATTCATTTTGTTTTGTGTTTGTCCACAGCTTTATAAGTCGCAGACTGAATATTTTGAGACCAAATATTATGAATTCCAAGGAGATCCGTCTTTGTTGAACAATGATACAGATGCAGCTGGAAATGTGATCGAGTTTGTAACTTCCCCCAACAATCCAGATGGCCATTTGAGGGCGCCGGTTGTAGGAGGTCCCTTTGCAAGGACGATTTATGATCGAGCTTATTACTGGCCTCATTTCACTGCCATCCCTGCTGCCGCTGATGAACATCTTTCCATTTTCACCATCTCCAAGCTCACCGGCCATGCTGGAACCAGATTCGGGTGAGTTTATATTTTATAACAAAATAAATGTTTATACATACCACTCAACTTTATATTATAAAACCCAAAAACCAGTTAGTTAGTGACATGGTTTCTAGTGATGTTTCATTTTCTTTGGTATTTTGGTAACGCAGGTGGGCAATTGTAAAAGATAAGAGTGTGTATGAAAACATGGTGGCGTATATAAGGGCAGCAGAGCTGGGAATTTCAAAGGAGACACAGTTGAGGGCTCTTACTCTCCTGAAAACAGTCCTCCAGGGTGATGGCAGGGGAATCTTCAACTTTTCTTATGAAAAAATGAAGAACAGATGGGAAAAGCTGAGCCAGATCATATCCCGGTCTCATAGATTCGTCATCCAAGAAATCTCTCCTAAGTACTGCAATTTTTTCGAGAAAATTCGAGGACCCTCTCCAGGTACAGAGTGTTGTTCTTGATTTCCATTGATGAAACTTGGAATAAACGCAGAGTGTATGAACTTGCAGCGTATGCGTGGGTGAAGTGTTTATGGGAGGAAGAAACAAATTGCAGTGCAGTCCTGAAAGCCGCGAAGATCATAGGGCGAGCAGGCAGCATGTACGGCGCCGAGGATCGTTATGTGCGGCTCAGCCTCCTCAAGAGGGACGACGATTTCGAACAGTTGCTGGCTCGGTTGAGGGAATTTGTCGCCATAGAAGATGGTGCGAAAACCATGTGAATATAACATTTTAATAAGTCACAAGGCTATGTTTATTCATTTCATGCCTTCGAATAATGATCTGTGGGTCATAAGAAAAATTGTACTTGAAATTTGGTTTCCAGGTGTGTATTTCATTGACGCAGTTACAGTTATTCGACCACAATATTTTTGCAATTATGTTTCTTAAGACTAACATTATCCCGGCAAATCTCTCCCACTCTAAAAAATATCATACTTTCACAACATCCCATTTACAAATCATCTCCTATTCACACTACATCCCTATAATATTCTCTCACTTTCTAAAGTGATCCTACTTTCATAATATATTATAAATATAATATAATAATAATAAAAGAGATTAAAAAAATAAAAAAGAACAAAAAAGTCAAATAAAGCTGCCGTTGGCAGCAAAAAGCTACATAGCAAGCTGTTTAGCAAACTTGCAAATTCTGCAAGTTTGCTAGACAGATGACAACTGCCTAGCAAGCTGTTTATATCCCTATATATCTCTCCCACTACTTTTATCCTGAGCCCAAAAAAAAAAAAAATCCTAAGAAAAATGGCACACCGCCCCCCGCATAAACACTCACCTCCACCGCCGCCGCCAGTAGTTCACGTGAACCATCCACCACCTCCGCCAGTAGTGCACCATCCACCTCCGCCGGCAGTTCACGTGCACCGTGGGCCGGGGCAGGTTCACAACGCTCCTGGTGCTCCTTCTGTGGCCCATCCCCATCCGCATCCCCCACATCATCATCATCCCCACTAGATACTACGCAGTTGACTTAGATCATCTCTGATCTGCAGATCTGGTGCTTGACAAATATATCTCATGATTAATAAGCTAGCAGGTTCAGTTCCACGGCGATGGAAGATATATACCTGTGTTTGTCTGTCTGTATTTTGTATGAAATTATGTAATCTGGATCTTTTGATTTTAGTCTAGTTCTAGGGTTCTACCACTGTACTAGCTTGTATGGAACTAGGTTTTATGTCGATTGTGGACGAAACCATTATGTATTGAATAAATAAACATCTTTTTATCATAATAGTTCTATTCTGTTAGAGTCTGATCTTTTTTATTGATTTCAATGTTCTTCTAAGTTTCTCGCTAAAGTGATCGGATTTGGTACGGTTAAGCAATTTAAGTAATTTATAGAACGCGAAACAATAATTTAGGTGATTACGTTCAAGTTTCACTCTCAAGAGAACAGTTTAATAATTTTCTAATTTTCTTGGTTTGAATTGATTTATATAACTCCTATAAACAATTTAAGTTGGAAGGTAACTATAGAGAGCTTAAAAGCTGGTTTATATTTTTATATAATAGGGAATGTTTGGTAAATAATTATTAAGTGATTGGATTAGTGAGTTGTAAAAAGATGAGCCGTAGAAAGATAGTTGGTAGTTGTAAAAAATATTTGATAAATTAGTAGTTAGATTAGTTATAAAAAAATATTTGGTAAATTAGTAGTTCAAGCCTCAGTGGAGGTGTTATTGACTCTTTGTGCTCCAACATATTAAGAAAGTAATTGGTGTTATTAGCTTTTTGTGTTCAGTAGATTGAGAAAGTAGTTATGAACAGATACTACATTGTAATAGAGTCAATAACATTCAAAATTAGTAATTATATATATATATATATATATATATATATATATATATATTAAATATTTATATGGACTGCTTAACTAACTTAAACAGTTATTAGTGATCAAATAAGCTTAAATTGATCGATAAGCTAACTAAATTACCAAATAGAACCTATTAACCAGGGTCATAATGTAGAGTTTTGATCCTCACCAAAAGAAAACAATGTAGAGTTTTGATAATGGTGTGAAATTTTCATCGTCATTTAAAAAAAAAACAATTTAAGTAATTTGTAATGTGTTTAGAATCCAATTAGATTATAAGCAATTAACAAGTCTTTAGGATTTAGTTTTCTACTACCAAAGCAATACACCAAATTGTGAACAGAAACTACATATCTACAAGAATATTATCAGAAACAATATAAAATGATCTGAACTACAGCTACCGACATAAAACCGCGTTTGGTTTCAAAATAAGAATCCTAAGAAGGATTCAAATACTCAATACTTCTCGTGTGCAGTAGTAAATAGGAATTTAAAATTTCACATTGAATCTGATTGTGGTAAAATAATAATACTCCGTAACAAACAAAACTGGTAATTGGAATCATATCAAATATGATATTAGGGTATAAAAATGTCTAACCAAACGCCACCTAAAGCTCGGAAACGCTAGAATTTCAATTTCCCTGAAAGATCCTTTCCCTAGCTCTTGCTGCCTGCAAATTCCACCAAAAGGATCGGATTGGAGTCCCCATTAGCAAGCAAGCTAAACAGCTTAGCTTCTCGGATATAATGTTAGATTCTTAATTAGCTTGTGAAATAGGGTGATATTGAAGTGATTCTTGTCGAGCATATCTCGCTATTAACTTAACCTTATAGTCAAGACCAAACACAACACTTGTGCAAAGTGCAGATAAAACAGATATACAAGTTATGGGTTCGGAAGAATACCTGTTTTTGCCAATCAGTGAACCAAGTTATAAGTGCAAGCAGTATACATTGCACTGAAGCGCCTACATTTAGTCCGATCCAGAGCCCCTTCCCATTCCCGTGAGCAACAAAACCGAGAATTATTGCCACTGGCAATCCCACCGAATAGAACGATCCAAGATTGATGAATGCTCCAGAACGCTGCCTCCCGTTCCCTCTCACGACTCCTGAAGCAATTAAGAAAGGAAACGAGAGATTTGAATTTCGAATCAGATTATTTTTCTGGAAATACAAGAGGAGTTAGGTACACTAACCAGAGAGTACTCCCTGGATGCAATCTGTCAAGACCAACAGACAGACAAAAGGAACCATTGCTCCTATGTAATCCACAACTTCCTTTTCGTTGCTGAACGCAAATCCCAGAACCCGGCTGGAGCAAAGTAGAGCTGTGTTCGCGACTACTGACTCCAAGAGTGTCAGAACCAGCACTGCCAAAACAGCAATTCGTGCTGCCTCTGAGTTTCCTGCCCCGAGTTCATTCGAGACTCGAGTGCTGCAAATCCAAGTGCGCTTTTACTGAGTAAGTAAACATTATATACGTATAGTAAATTGAAGCATGTGCTCCATCTCAACTAAAAGCCTAAACTGATAGTTGGGTTGCATGCACATTAATGGTTTGGTTATATGTTCAACACGTTCCAAGCAGCACAAACCCATGACCTTTGGTCTGGCTCTGATACCAAATTGAAGCATGTGCTCCATCTCAACTAAAATGCTAAGCTGATAGTTGGATTGCATGCACATTAATGGTTATATGCTCAACATAGTACGTTCCAAAGCAAGGAAACAGCGTATCAGAGTTTCAGAGTAGACCTTGCCGCAGCACCAATGGAAAACGGGATGAAGTAGTGCGATGAAGCAATCAAAAGGCTGTTGCAAAGATGGGCATGCATACATTATCAAGGACTTCAAAACCTCATTGAATACAAAGATTAGTGAGAAGCAGCAGATCGAAAGATGCATACCATATTGAGAGAACTGAAGCCTCAAGTTCGGGATTAGGCAAAAGTCCAGAAAGCAATATAACTATTTCATACGTCCACCATTCAAGACTGAAATACTAGCGGTTATAACTTATAAGATAGATACAAAGCCCAGACATAAAAAGCAAGGGAACTATATATATTGATGAAAAGGATAGCGAGCAACATTTTACCAAACCATGCCTGTCGAGGGGATAGCCAAGCGCACAAACTCCCCTATACACGAATAAACTTCTTTTGAGAAACTGAAGCTGATGCGGGTTTCATTGCAGGAGGAAGAATAACGCACATAAACACCAAGGAGGACGACATTGAGCCAGTACGACAAAGCAATTGCTATTGCTGCTCCACTGCTGCCTAAGTTAAACTTGAACACAAATGCCCAACAGACAGGCACATGAAAGCATAGAGACGCAACTGAGCTTAAGAGCATAGGAAGGATCAAGCTTTGTGTTTGCAGGTAACGAACCAGTGGTTGAAGAATTGCATATGGAAACAGGGCAGGAATCAGCCAAATCGAATATTTTTTGGCTTCAACTGAAATCAGCGGGTCTTGGCCTATTATCATCAAAAGTTTATCCATGAAAACCCATAGAATAGATATTGGTATGCAGGCCACAATGAGAGGTATTATAGCTCCAAATGTGTAGACGCCTAGCTTCTTGTAATGCAGAGCTCCATATGCTTGGCCACACAGAGTCTCCAGTGCACTAGCCATTCCAAACTGCTCACAATGTTCAATTGCTAATTAGCCATGCACACTATTTTCTGGAAAAAGTTGTGCACCACGCATACACAGACACATAGATATTGGCACAAATGCTTTTTTAAACAAAAAAGAATTGTTTTAGCATGTATTATGTACACATAATGAGGCAACCTTGTCAAGTTAGTCAGACTGTCGACTTGATAACTACAGAATTATAAGTTCAACTCTAGTGGGAGTGGCCTATTGGCTTTCTTGGTTTGAGAAGGTACGACTCACGTAGGGTGTCCTACTGGTCTTCTTGATTTGAGAAAGTCTACTATGGGCAACCTATACTGATAACCACAAGGTTACAAGTTCAACTCCCGTGTGAGTGTCCTATTGACCATCTTGGTTGGTTTGAGAAGGTCCGCTATGGCCAACATATGTTGATTAATTATACAAATTCGACTCACGTTAAAGTGGCTTTCTTGGTTTGAGAAGATCCGTTATAGGCAACCTATTCTGATAACCACAAGTTACAAGTTCAACTCCTCGTGGGAGTCACCTCAATCAATCAATCTGTAACCAAAATTGATTCTTGTGAACCTCAAAATGTAGCACATAGATATCAACAACAAATGTTTTAAGTCTTTAGATCATTGAAATTGAATTGATAAATGATTTTAACTCAAACAGGTATAAGCTATTCTATCTCTTCGCGAGTTTAGGAATATAGTATTATACTGAGTAAGAAATTCATGCAAAAGCAAGAGATAGGAGAAGGTAGGTAGTACAAGGAGACTGAAACCGGTGACGTTGGTGAGAGAAGTGGCGATGGCGGCGCCGGAGAGTGAGAGTTCGCCGAGGTGGCCGACCATCATCATCCCTATCGTGGTCACGAGTTGCTGGGAAATTGTGACGACCACCATGGGCAGTGCTATGCAGCTCACCTTCTTTAGCTCCTCCCAGAACGCATCCCATTTCGACCATATTCCTTTCTTCCTCCCCTCCTCTACTTCTCGCAGCAATGGCGCATCCTCCATCCTCTTCTCTCCGTTCTTATCACCAGTTCCGTGTCCGAGTAAGCTGCGGATCTGAGGAGTGGAGTCCTCTTTGTACTGCCACCGAGTCAGCGATAGAATTTTGACTTATCAGTCTCTTTTACTGTGTCAAGTAGGAATGAATGTCACTCAATCCAATAGAATAGTTCAAGTGACAAATGAGTGCTTTTTATGGAAAAAATTTTAGAATAATTCAGGTTCAATTCTCACAAGTTACGATTTAATTTAAGTGACAAATGAATTCTCTTTATGAAGAAAATTTTAGAATAATCCGGGTTCAATTCTCACAAGTGACGACTCTATTGGGATGATGTTTTTACCATAAAAAAAATTTAAAAACTATAATTAAGTCAATCATATTAACTACTTGAGAGATTTGTTGACAAAGAGAGTATTCAATTCACACAACAAATTGAAATGAAAAACTACCTCGGAATGTCCTTGTTTGACAATCAGCAGTTAGCGGACTATATTAGTGGATTTGACCAGAAAATTATATCAACCGTTGGTAAAAATATATTTGAAAAGAATAACAGTTTAGATTAGCATGTCACATGACCTAATAATAATAATAATAATAATAATAATAATAATAATAATAATAATAATAATAATAATAATAATAATAAACATTGGGCATTATCCTAATCGCGCGTAAAAACAACTACATAATACAAGACACAAAAACTCATAACACAAGACACATACACATTTAAAAAAATTAAAGAAAAAAAAACTTTAACGTGAATTAAACAACTAAACAATCATCGTCAAAATTAATAAAATTATCGTTTTAAAAACGACATCGTATAGGATTAGGATCCACGGTATAAGCGTTGCCAAAAGTGTGACTCATGCTGAGACACCATCACTCTAGCTAAAGTGTGATCTCTACTATTAGCAACTTGCGTTATGTGATGGACAGTAGCATTATGAAACAAACGCATCAGAAAATGCAATTAGCAACAATAAGTCCAATACAAGACAAAGCCAACATCTAATTTAAGGTTGTTTTCAAAAAAATAAATAAAAATCCAAAAACAAGACAAATCCAATAGCTGTAAGCCATACCATGATACCAAAGTAGGCAATCTGTTTAAGTTACCTGTACCAGTGGTTGTCTTTAAGCCCAGTAATTGCTTCCTTCATGGTCATCGCCTCCGCCGTCCATGATGTAAGGAGAATTGAAGCATATGATTCATCTTTAACTAAAAATTTAAACTAATCGTTGAATTGCACATTTGTATTTATATATTATATGCTCAACACGCTTCAATTCACGTGTGCCCTTTGACATGAGCTCTGATACTAAATTAAAGCATGTGCTCCATCTTAACTAAAAACCTAATTGATAGTTGAATTACACATTTATGTTTATATATTATATACTCAACGAGGAGGAACCCATTATCAGTCAACCACACTCTACGATTACTAGTCTTATTACCTTCATATTTTTATAAATCTACACCTAACGATACCAAATTTTTATCGACTATAATACATTTTAAGTCCATCGACTATAATACATTACTCCTTGACTATTAAAATTTTCATATTAAGTGCATGACTATTCAAATTGTATCACATTTGGTCCTTCACTATTAACATCAAATTAAGTGCATGACTATTCAATTTGTATCATATTTAGTCATGCCGTTAAAGTTTTCGACCAAAATTCTGTCCAAGTCACTGGTGACAGACTAATTTATTTAATTTTTATTTTAAAAATTATTTAATAATTTTTAAATTAAAAAACTTAAAAATAAAATAAATAAAAAAAACCCCGGCCATCCCCCACCTCATCCTTTTTCTCTGCTGGAGACGAAGGAGGAGGGGGGGGGGGGGGGTGGCCGGCGTCCTCTTCCCCCCACTCTCCTCCTTCGACATCACCGGAGACGAAGGATGAAGGGAGAAAGAGAAGGCCGACCACCCCACCCTCCTCTTCCTCCTTCGCCTCCAATTGAGACGAAAAGAGCTCTCGGAGGAGGGGAGTGGGGCCCCCTTCCTCCTTCAGCTCTGCCGGAGACGAAGGAGGAAGGGGGAAAGAGAACGCCGGCCACCCCACCCCGACCTCTTCCTTCGTTTTCGGCGGAGACAAAGGGGGAGAGGATGGGGTGGCCGTCGTTTTTTATTTTTATTTTTATTTTATTTTTAAAAGTTTTAATTTAAAAATTGTTAAAAATAATTTTTAAAATAAAAATTAAATAAATTAGTCGGTCACCGGTGATTTGGTCGGAAATTTGATTGGAAAATTTAACAACATGACTAAATGTGATATAAATTGAATAGTCATGCACCTAATTTGAAAATGTTAATAATCAAGAACCAAATGTGATACAAATTGAATAGTCATACACTTAATTTGAAGTTTTTAATATATTACAAATGAGAGGACTGATGAAAGGAAGAAAAATAACACATCTGATTTCACTAGAATGAAGTACTGTTACATTGGTAAGTGTATGAACAACAACTAACAGACTGGTTTACATATAAGCTTATATACACATGTGATAACAGAGTTGAAAGAAACTAATATTGGAAAATATCCTAACTAACAATTCTAATGATTGTTAACTGCCTCAACTACCATCTTCTTCTAATACCTCCCCGCAAGCTGGAGTGTACATGGAATGGAGCCCCAGCTTGGACACAAACTTCTGAAATAGCATTGGCTGTAAGGGCTTAGTTAAGATATTTGCTGTCTGATGTTCAATAGGAACATGCAACAATTTTATGGTTCCTTTTTGAACATTCTCTCTTATCAAGTGACAATCTATTTCTATGTGCTTAGTCCTCTCATGAAGGACTGGATTTTCTGCTATTGCAATAGCAGATATGCTATCAGAAAACAGCACAACTGCCTCTCCTAATTGGACTTCAAGAACTTCAAGAAGATAAAATAATCATTGTATCACACAAGCAGCAAGAGCAAGGGCTCTATATTCAGTTTCAAAGGATGATATGGATACAATATTCTACTTCTTGGACTTCCAGGAAACCAATGCATTTCCCAAGAAAATACAGAAGCCAGTTACAGATTTTCTTGTATCAGGACAAGCTGCCCAATCTGAATCAGCAAAACCACTCATTTTCAAATTGAAATCTGTAGGAAAAAACAACCCTTGTCCAGGACAAATCTTGATATACCTTAGTACTCTATGGACTGCTTGTAGGTGGATAGTAGTAGGTTTGTCCAAAAATTGAGATAACTGCTGCACAGCAAAACTAATATCAGGTTTAGTGATGTTCAAATACAAGAGTTTTCCCACTAATCTTCTGTACTGAGTGTTGTCTTCCAAGGCTTCACCATCATCTTTGGAAAGTTTGTTTGTTTGTACCATAGGGCATTTTGCAGGTTTAGTTTCAAGGAATCCTGAATCTTGTAGAAGATCCAGGGCATACTTCCTTTGTGTCAAGGATATGCATGTGTGCTTCCTAGCAACTTCCAATCCCAGGAAATATTTTAAGCTTCCTAAGTCCTTGATTTTGAAAACTAAATGTAAATGTTCTTTGATCTGCTGGATTTGAGCCTTGTCACTGCTGGCTAGGACTACATCATCCACATATACTAGGAGGGCAATGAAACTATCATTAGATCCCCTAGTGAAAAGGGAGTTATCACATACTGCTTGTTTAAACCCCATGCTGATTAGCTCAGTAGTTAGCCTAGCATTCCACTGTCTGCTTGCTTGCTTTAGGCCATAGAGTGACCTTTTTAGTCTGCACACTTGCCCAGGTTGCTTAGAAATAAACCCTGGGGGAAGGATCATGTACACTTCTTCCTTAAGATCTCCATGCAAGAAGGCATTGTTGACATCAAGTTGATGCAACTACGATCCTCTTGCTGCTGCCACAGTGAGCAAGGTTCTAATAGTAGTAACTTTTGCCACTGGGCTAAAACTGTCAACATAATCTATTCCACAAGTCTGAGTATATCCTTTTGCAACTAACCTGGCCTTGCACCTTTCCACCGTCCCATCAGCCTTGTGTTTCACCTTGTAGACCCATCTGCACCCTATTGTTTGTGTGGAGGGTGGAAGAGTGGTTAGCTCCCATGTGTTGTTGGCATGTAGGGAATCTATTTCAGCCTGCATAGCAGCCTTCCAGCAGTCATGTTTGATGGCTTCATTGTAGGACTTAGGTTCTTGAATATTGAGGGTGTTGGTAGCAAAGGCTTTGAAAACAGGAGATAGCCTTTTGTAAGACAACATAACTGAAAGAGTGTGAGGATATGTCTTAGTATTAGGCGGATTGCAATCATAGTCACTGAGATATGCAGGTCTGGACACTTATTTGTTGGACATCCTAGGTTGAACTAGAATGGGATCCGACTGCTCCAGATCAGGTTCTGCGGGTGTGAGATCATTTGGTTCTGCATGATTAATACAATTATTTGTTTCTTCCCTTTGAATAGGCCTTTGGCGAACAATGTCTTCCATATTGTTGGTGTCACTTGGTAGAATGAGATCCTAGGATGATCCTTGTTCATTAACCTGGTTTGCTACCTTGTAGGGAAACACATGCTCATAAAAAACATCTCTTGACATAAACACTTCCCTGGAATCTAGGTCATAGAGCTTATAACCCTTTACTCCATTAGGCTATCCAATAAACAGACACCTTCTAGCTCTAGGTGAAAACTTTCCTTGGTGTCCTTTGTGTATGACAGCATAGGCCAAACACCCAAAAAATTTGAGATGAGAGTATTGGGGTGCCTTACTGAATAGGATCTGATGAGGAATCTGGCCTTGCAAAGCTGTTGAAGGTAGCTTGTTGATGATATAAACTGCATGCAGTATGCAATCCCCCCTGAATCCATCTGATAGCCCCTCTTGGAATTTTAGTGCCATTGCTACTGCCAAGATATATCCATGCTTTCTCCCAACTGCACCATTTTGTTGTGGTGTATACACACATGTTGTCTGATGAATTATTCCCTTCTCCTGGTAGAACTTGTCCATTATCTGTTTTTACACACTTCACCATCTTTCCAAACTGTGTCATAGCAAAAGTACAAAACCCTTGAACTAGTGCCCTGGCTTCATCTTTGCCTCTTAGTAAATAAACACATGTAGCGCTGCAATAATCATCCACAATGGTTAGGAAATATCTGTGTCCATATATGGTGTGTGTGTGGTATGGTCCCCAAATATCAATGTGGACCAGTTCAAAGCATTCATTAGAAATAGTAGAGCGGGTACTAAAAGGCAACATCCTTTGTTTGGCTAAATGACAAGTATTGCAACCATCATCTTTATTTATTTTCAAGTTTACATTTGTCAGAGGTAATTGCTTCAACTTTTCATGAGAGCAATGGCTTAATCTAGCATGCCAAGTATTAATGAAATTACAAACATTTGCCCTAACTTGCACTACTTTATCAAAACTAGGAAGAGTTGGTTTTACAAGATAGTACAGCTAGTCCTTTTTGCAGGTTAGCCAAACCAATCATCCTCCCATACTCCTGATCCTGTATAATGCACACATCAGAATAATTAACTTGCACTTGGAGGTCTTAATTAATTCACTGACAGAAATCAAGTTGTAATGGAATGCAGGCACACATAACACATTTTTCAAAACCAAACTGTCAGCATGTACAGACCCTATATGTGTGATATCAGCTTTATCACCATTAGGTAATTCAACAAACATACCTTGAACCGTTTTTGCATTTGTGTTAACATGCTATGTTGATAGACAATATGATGGGTGGCACCACTATCTAGTATCTAACTAGCCTTGTTTTAAGAAGAGAGTTTAGAGTGAATACCTTCAAACTGTGGATTGGGAGCAAAGTTGGCAGCAATCAAGTTAGCATGGGGTGTCACTCCTCCAGTCACACTCAAAGGGGATTGGTGAGCATGCTATCCCTCTGCAAGAGCTGTTTGATCAACATGTATTCATCTTGACTCAGACTAACAGATCCAGTATCAACATGTCATGTGCCCTCATTAAATGATTGCTCATTAGTGTTGATTGCAACCTGATTAGCAAAACCAACTCCCTCTTTTCTTGGTTTATACCCAGGTGGATAACCATTTTTCTTGTAACACTTCTCTGCAACATGTCCAGTAAAGCCGCAGTATGAACAAACAGGCTTCTTGTTGCCATTGGAATAGAATTTCTTGGAACCTGCATTGTTGCCTTGGGTAAGTAGGACACTGCCTGCTTCTTGAATTTGCATCCCTGTCACCCCATTATTAAACCTTCTTTCTTGTTGTTAGACCATCATGAATGCCTCATCAACAGTTGGGAGAGGTTTTGTCATCATAATTTGGGGTTGAACAGAGGCTTAAGTCTCATTAAGGCCTCTTAGAAAAACTGAGAGATTATCATTTTCTAAGTGTTGCTGCAAAGTATCCAACAGCCCACAATCACACATTCTATCACACTTGCATGTTGGCAAGGGCCTAATGACCTGAAGTTCATCCAATAAGTTCTTTAACTTGGCAAAATAGGCACTTACAATCAAATCACCCTGCCTAGTTTGATGAATTTCGACGTGTAGATCGGAAATTCTAAAGATGTCTGCCTCACTGAACCTGGCTTTCAGTGTGCTCCATATACGTTCAGCTGACCCAATCCAGAGGACTATTGACGCAATTTCTGGAGAAACAGCTCGCATGATCCAAGTCGCCACCATGTTATTGCACCTCCTCCAATAGGGATACATCACTTCACCTACATTTGGTACCGGAATCATGCCATCGACAAACCCTAGTTTGTTCTTGGATAGCAGTGACATCTCCATCGCCGTGGCCCAAGGATGATAATTTCGGCCATTGGGAGCAGACGAGACTAAGACCAATGAATGATTCTCGATTGGGTGTAGGAAATAGGGACTAGCTGTGTCGTTTGGATTGAAATTCGCTCCGGCAAGGTTGGCATTCGCCGGTGCTGAGGGTGGTGGAGCTGCAGTTCCTGCTACTGATGCTGGTGGAGCCGTCGCAACACTAGGAGGTCTGCTCGATGTGCGGTTCCATGCCATGAGCTCTGCTTATCGCTCTGATACCATATCACGAATGAGAGAACTGATGAAAGGAAGAAAACTAACACATCTGATTTCACTAGAATGAAGTACTGTTACATTGTAAGTGTATGAACAACAACAAATAGACTGGTTTACATACAAGCTTATATACACATGTGATAACAGAGTTGAAAGAAACACTAATCTTGGAAAATATCCTAATTAACAATTCTAATGATTGTTAATTGCCCCAACTGCCATCTTCTTCTACTATAATAGTCAAGGACTAAAATTGATAGATGAATTATGGTCGATGGATTAAAAATTGATACAAGTTAGTCAGACTTCGACTTGATAACTATAGAGTCATAAGTTCAACTCTAGTGGGAGTGGCCTATGGCTTTCTTGGTTTGAGAATGTACACTATGGACAACCTATGATGATAACCACAAGGTTACAAGTTCCACCTCACGTAGGGTGGTCTATTGGTCTTCTTCATTTGAGAAAGTCTACTATGGGCAACCTATAAAGATAACCACAAGGTTACAAGTTCAATTCCCCGTGTGAGTATCTTATTGACCATCTTGGTTTGAGAAGATCCTCTATGACCAACATATGTTGATTAATTATCACAATGTCACAAATTCGACTCTCGTTAGAGTGGTTTTTTTGGTTTGAGAAGATCCGTTATGGACAACATATTATGATAATCACAAGTTACAAGTTCGACTCATCGTGGGAGTCACCTTTTGGTTTGAGAAGGGTATTTTTACGTCCTTGTGGTAAATCAATCAATCTGTAACCAAGATTGATTCTTGTGAACCTCAAAGCTGTAGCACATAGATATCAACAACAAAAGTTTTAATTCTTTAGATCATTGAAATTGAATTGATAAATGATTTTAACTCAAACAGGCTGCAGAAGCTATTCTATTTCTTTGCGAGTTTAAGAATCTATATATATTAAAGCAAAATGGTTGGCACAAAATTCCCCCCCCCCTCCCCCCCCCCCCCCAAAACGTAGAGGCATATTTTTCAAACCAAAATTCGAATTATTTTAGTAAATTATTAATTATTAATTATTAATCATCCATTTTATTAATCATCCATATATATTTTTTCATAAAATCATCAATTTATAATTTTTAATCAAATAAAGTCTCTAAATTATTTTAGTAAAACTATTAATTTCATTAATCATCCATATATATTTTCATAAAATCAGCCATTTATGATTTTCAATCAAATAAAGTTGCAAATATACATCCTCTATAAATAGGGTATAATGTGCATGGAAGAGAAAGCAGAAGATGTAAATTACCTAGCTAGAAAGGAAAGACGTTGTCACTCTCTCCCTCACAAACTTGTGGAGTTTTCTATCAATCTCTTTCTTGAATTTGTGAGAGAGATGGAAAGAGCTCGCATTCTAAAGAAGGGTCATTGGTCTACCAAAGATGATTTACTGCTCACCAATTACATTTAGAAACTTCACGAGTGTACCCACAAAGTTGCTGTCGCTGAACGAGTCACTGAGGATTAGCGTGTACAACCCTGCAACATTCTACGACATCCATGTCAGCTCTGCACCCATCAATCTCGTCTTCTCCGACATCACTGTTGCCATTGGCCAGGTAACTAACACTACATTCACCAATATAAAAAATAATAATAAATCCAATTTTCCTAATAATTTCCTTGACATCCAAAATAATAAATATATTAAGAGTGAAAGTGGAGAAGTTGACATGATTTTAAGAATTTTCAGTTGAAAAAGTACTATCAGCCAAGGAAGAGTCAGCGGACGGTGTTGGTAAACATACAAGGAACTAAAGTCCCCTTGTACGAGGCAGGATCGAGTTTGACAGTGACCAAAAACAAGGACCGCACCGGAGGTGTTCAAGTTCCGTTGGCGCTGGATTTTGAGGTGAAGTCTCATGGGGACGTGGTAGGGAAATTAGTGAGGACGGATTACCGGAGGAAGATCTGGTGTAACTACAATTAATACAAAATTATATAAACAAAAATCCTCATCCAGATCTAGATAGATTTCAGAGAAAAAGTTGAAGATAAAAAGTTAAAAATCATCAAATTCACAGTGAAATTGATGATTTTTTTTACCTTCTATCTTCAACTTTGTCTTTGAATTTTCTATTGGAGTCTAGAGTTCAATGAAAAATTCACCAAAACCTAGCAAAATCAAATTTCAAATTGAAGCAGCTAGATGCACAATCTTTATTTTTAAAAAAAAAAATTGAAACATATCGATTTCTAGGAAAAAAGCACCCGAAAAAAAAAATCTAACTTTAACTTAAAATTGAAAAACAAAATTGCCCCTAAATACCTAGAAATTATTATAGTAATTTTATGTTAATCTCCATTTATATTTTTTCATGAAATTATTATGATAACGACGGTGGTTTTGATAATTTTATAGGATTTTCTGAAACTTACAGGGCGTTTGGTTGAAGGGAACTTAAATTCCCTTCCCACTTAATTCCACATAATTCCAAATGCCACAAATTTCCCTTGTTTGGTTGAAAGAAATTGCAATTGCATGGAATTGCAATTCCCCATTTTCATGGAATTAAAATCCCATGTCCCCCCCCCCCCCCCCCCCCCCGAGATTTGAAAAAAAGATAGTGATGAGTTAAAATTACCCCTTCCTTTTTAACCTAAAATTAATGCCTAACAACAACAATGGACATTTGTGACTTTATACTACTTATTCCCTTTCAATTCCCATGTATACCAAACATTGGAATTGAAATTCCTAGTAATTCTATTCCTGTAAACCAAACACTGGAATTTAAATTCCCACTTTATTCCAAATAATTCATCTCCCATGAAATTGCAATTCCTTTCCCACGTAATTCCCCTTCTCCAACCAAACGCCCTGTTAGAGTTAGTATGTTGATTTCGAGGTTTTTACATGCTATTCAAGTTTCTATGCTTTTTCTCATCCTACTTTGCTTTTTTCTAGAGAGAGTAGGAATGTGACGGTGATGAAAGAAAAAGAGGAGATAGAGAGAAATTTTTTATTTTTTATTTTTTTAATCAGAAGTTTCTATGGTTTCTTATACAAATTTATAATTTTAAATTTATTGTAATAAATAATTATTAAGGCAAGTATAATTTATTTTATATTGCGGACACGTTATTTTTAATAATTTTGATTTAATAATATTATTATACCTTAAATATAAAAATTCTACCTAATAATTTTAGTATTAAATGACATACAATAATTACCATGTAATTACTATGATAATTTTATGGTAATGTATTTAAATATTGAAAGAGAACAAATCTTATAATTAATATAATTAATGAAATTATTAAGGTAATTTTCACAATATTTGGTAATTATAATTAATATAATTAATGAAATTGAGAAATATAAGATTTTTCTGTTGAAATATTTGTGACAATTTCACTAAATTAAAATTAATAAAATATGAAATATAATTAAGGAAATGAAATTATAAAATTAACAAAATATAAACATTTATAAATTTTTGTAAATACATACATATATACATTTATGCACTATACTAACCATACAAAATTTAAATGCTACTTTTTAAATTTCTAAATCTAATTTTTAAATTATAATCTATCAATATAAAATATAATTAGTGAAATTATATTATTGAATTTTTCTATATACATATTAATAAATTAATATTAATTAATATTATGTGTAAATACAATATATTATATAATCATATAAGTAAATGTGTTCGATTAGAGTTTAAATTTACCCATTCAAAATTTAAAATTTACATTTTTAAAATTAATTTCTAAGTATAACTCTTTTAGTTATTATTCATATTTTTAGAATTATAATATATATGAATTACAATTACGAATAAATCAACTTTATTATGTGAATTTTTTCTATAAATTTATGTAAATATGTACATGATTAGAGATTATATTAACCATACAAAATTTAAATTTAAATATTGTACGTTATGAAAATAGATATTTGACCAAATATATAAAAATCCAAATATATTATTATATTGTCCATTTTAACATTGTTTTTATTTTTTTTATTTAAATATATAATAACAAAAATTTATCCGTACAACACATGGGTACAACACTAATAATTCTTATTATCATAACATAGTCCGTGCATCGCACGAGGATCATACTAGTATAGTATTATACTGAGTAAGAAATTCGTGCAAAAGCAAGAGATAGGAGAAGCTAGGTAGTACAAGGAGACTGAAATCGGTGACGTTGGTGAGAGAAGTGGCGATGGCGGCGTCGGAGAGTGAGAGTTCACCGAGGTGGCCGACCATCATTTGTTGGAAAAATAACATTAAAATGACATTTTAAGTGGCTATTTTGTGGTATAATTATTAGTGGGGTCCATTTTTGATTTTGGTTGGGTCAAAGTGGATTCGGGTTCTTCGTAGTGAAACGAAGAGATTGATATATTGTACGCTCAAAACGGATAATGGGTGAATGAGATATTGATTCTCAAAGTAGACCCATTTGAGTTGGAAAAATGAAGGGAAAAAGATGACTTTTTGTCCCACATTGGTTTGGGAAGTGGATTTGCACCACTATTTATACAAGAGTCTTTCTAAGGCTTATTAAATTGTATAACATAGAGGTTCTCTCTTGCACGTTGAATTTAAATCAAATTCAATGTCGAACTCGAGTTCGAGTAAATCAAGCTGCTTGAGCTGAGCTGGAGCAGCCCGAAAATTACCGAGCTCAAACTCGAGCCGAGCCTCCATTAACGAGCACGAGCCTACTTAGGTTCGAGCTCAACTCGGCTCGTTTACACCCCTACTTCTAACGGAATTAATCCCTGGTTCGCCAACTTCACTTCAGACGGAATTAATTTAGTAGCTGGCTTGGCCCTGGTTCGCCAACGTCACTTGTGACGGAATTAATTTAGTGGCTGTGTGATGGAATTAATTTAGTGGCTGGCCTGTTTCAGGTGTTACAAGCCTGGCCCTGGTTCGCCAACGTCACTTGTGACATGACAGAATTAATTTA